AGCTCTTCTATCCTCACATGCAATGTAAGTGTAGTTCTTCCCTATCAGCAGATGGAGACAGAGTACATATGTTTTGATGTAATCCTCCAGTAAACTAAAAATTTCTCACCACACAATCCAGTCTGCATCCATTTGGTTGAGCTCTCCAAATTCTTAAAAAGATTTCAGGATAATAAATCTAAACCAAACTCATCTAAAACTTGGCATTTAGTAATTTCTCTGATTTTAAGACTTTTTTTAGGTTTTGGAATTTCCTAAGAAATGTGATTCTTGATCTAGTATTACTTTTTAAGGCACAGAGCTGTAGTACAATCAATCATCTTAACAGTAACACAAATTACCTGTTCTTTTCCATGAGATATTCTGGTAATATTTCTGTATGATACAGTTCTTCAAATTGTCGTTAATTATTTTTGCAATACTATTTGACAGCATCACAAATTGTGGGTGTAAATGGTAACATTCTAAGAAAAGCCAAAACCCAGAAAAACAAACCCTAAATAACAAGCTTAGGCAGCAAACTTAGCTGTAAGCTTTATAAAATTTTCCTCATGGTTCATTATTAAGTTTGACTTTTTGTTTTGGCACAGGTAGCAGATAGGAACTAGGTATTGCTTTGGTACTATTAGATGCCATTATCATATTCTTAAGAAGAATTACTGCCCTATTGAAGTATTGTTCATTTCACTTTTAAAAGGTGTTCCCCATTCCATGATTTTCTGCTATTATAGTTTTTTGGATATATCTTGGATATTGTCCATTACATGTCACTACAAAGAGAGTATATGTGTACAGCCAATGTCAAATAATAAATAGTTTTTACTAAGTGTCATCAAGCATGTGAGGGTCAGGTATTGTTATCCTATATAAGTAACTCTTTCCTTTGTGTTTCCACAAACAAGCAAACTAGCACAAGCTCCAGGGGTTCAAAAGTAATGCAGGTGTTTGTTTTTTTTAATTTTTCCTCACAGTCCTAATAAAGTTTGGTAGTGTAATGAACAAAATAAAAAAGTATTTATTTAAAAGTAGGGCTTGTTGAAACCAACTAGATAATTTATTTTACATTCCATGAAAACTTCTCTTTTGTCTCTCTCTGCTGAATAGTTGTCATTTTTCTTGCAGCTGATCCAGTAAATTTTAAGAAAATAAAAAATACAAAAAGTCATTATTCCATTATCTCAACATGTAGCTAACAGCATCATCTTTATAGTTGACATTCACTAGTGAGTGACTTAGTATTTTGGGTCACATGCACTTTCTGCCACTGCCAAGTTTGATTTGCTCCTGTTCACTGGGTTACCACAATTCAAGTGTTTACAGACTTGAAGCAAGGGTGTGATAGAAATATTATCTGCTTCTCAGAGTACTTGAAGTTTTAAACTGTGCAATAGGAATGGGAAGAACCTCTTAGTGTGCCCAGAAAATCCATGCCTACAGGTCCAATTACATTTCAGTCAAACTTGTTGACTTTGTTTCTATCATCAGTCCTTGGTTAAATCGATCCTTTGTGAAGAAGTCAGTGAATGTAAACTCTTGTTATGTTAAATAGTTATCTGAGATTAATGCAACCCACTACTTTTTCAATTATCTTGCTAGTTATAGCTACTGAAAAGGTTTCTGCAGATTAATTTTAGGTCATGGCTGTTTTCAGCTGATTCTTTGGGGTAGAGAGTGTGCTCTTTGAATCCTTTTTCTCCTTTTAAAATATTTTCTAATTATTAAGGCAAATATTTCTTCATTTATTTACTACCTCCGACTGTTGCAACTGTTTAAGCAATTTAGTTTAGGTATTTTTTATTTTGTTTCAGTATATTCCTTTGTCATCACTTCAGCCCTCAAATAGGGCTTTACTGATGTACAGATTTTTATGCTAGTATTTTTGCACTGGGAGGAATTTCACACAATACCACCAGTAATTTCCCTGACAGTATTCACAATCTGGAGCTATCAAATCTATGAGTGAAAGCTCTTGTTTGCCGAGTGCAGACTGCATTTTAGAGCAGATAACATTTATTTTGTATGACTAAAAAGGTATAAAAAACCCTAATGAAATTTGCACATATTATGTTAGTGTCAGCAGAAAGAAAAAAGTTCATTCTTGGTTCAGTTTCAGAAGCATCTTCTTTTTCCAAATAACACAGCATACTGAATCATAATGCCTGTAAAAAGTCAAATTTGAATCTATTAAGGAATTGCTCACTAAAAGTTGGATGTGCTTTAAAGCACAGTAAATTTCATTCTACTGAAGGAACAAAATACGGTTCAGGAAAAAAAAAAGAGTCATAATATAAGTCTGGAATTTCTTAACTTAATTATACCTAATTTAATGTGAATTATACTTGATGTAATAAAGTGATAGTCAGAAGAAAAATGTTAGCAAAAAACATTGTGAAGAATGTACCACTTCACATCTATAGTCAATAGAATTAATGCTAGAAAAGGTAAAAGATAATTAAGAGTAGGAAGTTATAATAAAGCCAAGGAATTGTGATCACATGAATGCTGAAAAAAAGGCAATTAAAAGGTAGAAAAGAATAATAATGTTGTGTCTAAATAGCCAAATTTTATTTTAGATATGCTTTGGCTGACTGCAGCTACAAAAGTACGAACACTGCATGAGCAAGCAGGATTTTCTCTCTGCTCTTCAGCGGCTTACATTTAGCTCACAGATGTCTTCTGTCTCAAATCAGTTTAATCCAATCAACTCACCTCACCCTACCCTGTCCTATACTTACCCATTAGAATGTTTTTTGGGGTGAAAACCAGCTGCTTCTTCCTGCTAAAGCTGGCATACGGAATATAGCAACAGCACTTCCTTTCACTCATCATGTGTCCATGGCTCTCAAGGTCAAAACTGCTGAAACCAAGGTAAAGGGAATTGAGATTATTTAGTGTTGTATATGTCACCAGATAGTATTAGAGAATTAGACAATTGCTGTGAGGCTGGAATGAGCTGTTGCTTTCATTCTTACAGACTGTTCTTCAATGTTCTCTTCTTATATAAAACCCAAAATTAAGGGGATACTCTATCCTATAGGGCTGGCAGCAAGTACTGCAAAGTACATCTTATAAAAAGGATTTCAAATATGTGATGTTGATCCACTTAGGAGATAAAATTCTTGGAAGTGTCATAAAATTTTACATTTGATGTCACCAGTGATTTCCTAAGATTCTTCAAGTTGTTTTGACATATAATGAATAATCCTGTAGATTTTAACTTGTGAGTTTTTTGATTTGAAATATCAGAAGATCTAGAAAGGGGAAAATAGATTGAAAATAAAAGTATTCTCAGACTAAAAATAAACCAGCAAAAGTATGTTTAACTTTCTGTGGCTAGGTGAAATAAAAAAAATGAGGTAGAATGTGATAAAACTGGAAAATATTCAGTGTTTTCATTTTTGTGTTGTGTGCACTTCCTTGGCTTACTCAAGTGAGCAAAGCATACTATACCCCACAACATCCCTAAAACAAGGATTAAGAATATTCCAGGTACAAAGAGAAAAACACTGTGCCTTTGATGCCAATGAAAGTTTGTTGCTGACTTCCAGGCTAGGAATTTGCCTACTGTAATTACAGGTCAATAGGTCATTGTCTCGCAGCCATCCTGCAGCTGTGTGATTTTCCCTTCAGCCCTCTCTCACCACTTTTATTACTGTACCAATCCCCATCTAGGGCAGATAAGGCTTCGCAGAGGCAGTTGCAAAAAGGAGGGGCAAGAGATAAAGGAGAATCCCAGGAAAAGTGCAGCTGCCCAGAGCAATGAAACAAAAAAGATCCCCACCAAAAATGTGCCAAACATTAAACTTCCAATGCTTGAAGTTGTGTTCAGGGGAGTAGGAGGCAGCATGCCAAACTTACACATGACATTGTAGTTAATTACCATTGCTGTGCACTGTCAAAAAGAAGGGATCAAATGGGTTATTTGGCCAATTTTTCATTTAGAGTAAGAATACAGGCAGTACAAAGGAGCTGTATTTAGCCTACAAACAAATGTGGCTGAAGAGATTAATAGTTCTCAGTTTTTGCTTGGCTTTGTTTTGGCATAGGGAATAAAAAATAAAAAGAGTAAGACTGTCCTGGACTTTTTCTTATTGATAGATATCAGTTTCTACAGGCATGATGGGTTTATCTCCTGTTGCATTAGAAACTAAAGGTCCTTAGTTTCTCTCTTCTTTTGGGAGATAGATGCAGTCTTCAATATTTAACACTTTACAACATTTGTCAATATAAAAATAGGTGTTTTGATATATTCACAGTGTTCCCACTTCTGTCAACGTTGGATGCTTCTGTAAATACATTACCTACCACACAACCACTCAAAGAACTAAGGCCAGAAATTAATGTTGGAGTTGAAGTTTCATCCTCAGAAGCATCTACTACTGCTTAGTAGGATATCTTATTTCCAAAGGGAGTTAGTTCCATTGGGTAATTACAAGTCAAGATGTCCTTCCTGCATCTTTCCAATTTGTCTAGCTAGAACTTGTAACTGTTTACTTCTTGTGTCTTTTCTGATAGATTAAAGACCCCTTAAGTACCTGGTATTTTCTGTGAAGGTACTTATCCATCATAATCAAATCATCCCTTGGAGCTAAACAGATTGACCTCTTTAGGACTGTAGCCCTAATGAAGAAAAACCCCAAACACTTCTAGCTACAACTCCCTTTTGAGTCTCTTCTCTGTATCTTCTCAATTTCTTAATAACTGTCAAGAAATGTCCTTCTCCTTTTAGCAACACTTTTAAATTGTATATATAGCAGGCATATAACAACACATGATAGAAACAAAGCCATACATTATAGCCACACATTTGGAGCTGAAATGTACCAATGAGCTTTAAGCACATTTGTGTACGCAGCAACAGCAAAAATCCTCCCTAAATGTTTTATTTTATAAACTTTTTTTCACATTATTTTTTGATAGAAACCTAGAATTACTTTCTGAGAATGCCTTATGTTAACATGGCTTTAGGTTTTACTGTTTTATGCCCTTTTGCAGGTCGTTCTGGTGAACCTGTTGATATGCATAATAGTTTTCTACACTGTGTATTATGTGGTCCTCTCTGTGTGCTTTGCAGTATTCAGGTATGATCTCCCTGTCTTTAGTCTGATATGCTGGCATACTGAACCTCATGGGTCCATATTCCTTTAAATATGCCTATTTAAAGGAAGCATCCAGACTGGAGGCATCCTGGCCTGGTTATTCTGTGAACATAATTTTTCAAATTCAGTTGAATTGTTGTACCTGAACTTTCTTCCAAGTGCACAAATTGGCAAATGGAGACTCAAAACTAATATAAAATGTTGATTCTAATACTCTTCCTTGCAGTTGTACCATGTAAATTAATGAATGTAAGAGAAAAGATGACATGAAAAAAAGGAAAATAAAGATTTTATAGTCAATGAAAAAGACAAATTATATCCCCCTAGGAAGTTACTGATTAGCATGCATAGCACCAAACATCTTAAACAAAAGTGAGCAAGGGCAAAACCACAACTCAGAATGGGACTTAGCAAGCTTGCAAAAACCCAGAGTATGCCATTTGAAATCCTATTTAAAAACTCTTATAATATGTCATGTAATCACTAAGAGATTACTAAAACTCCCTGTTTAAATTTATTAATTTTGTTTCCACAGGATTAAAATGTTGGATGGTTTGGCACCTTTTGATTTTAAAACAAATCCCTCATGGATTAACCCATATTATTTAGGTAACTGAAGTTTGTTTCTCTTTTTATTTTTTTTCCCCTCATTCAAGAAAATATATTGCATGTAGATGTAGACTTGTCTTCCAATGGACAGTGTTTTAAAGCTGTTTTAGTAATACCAATGATTTCTGTATTTTAACTAAACTGCAATTAAATGTTTATGCATCTTGCCAGAGCTTCTCATTTCTGTACTGCTACTTAACATTCAAGTGAATTTTAGGCTTTTTGTTGAGTTCTTCTTCTCATCTTGCATCATCAGAAGAAAATGTCCTGCTTTGCCACGATGATTCATTTTCATTGCAGAACAATTACCTATATCAAGTTCCTCCACAAAGTTGTTTAATTTAATTTTCATACTGCAGCAAATTTCTTATGAATCACTGGATTCAGATCAGAGAAAAGGGTCACATTTAAGTAATGGCAATTTTGCTTTGGTAATGCTTGAATACAGTGGGCATTAAAATATCAGAATTTGATTGTAGCTCAATCCCTAAAAGTACCTTTATAAATCCTAATACAAATTTCTGCAATGATTCTGAAGCTCTCAAAATATATTATTTTTGCTAAACTGTCATTCCTAAAAAAGTGCATGCATACATAAAATTTTACCAAATTTGTAATCTATTTTACAAAGGCAAACCTCATAATCTGTCAGTAAAATACATAAAGTTCAAAAGTAAATTGGTTAGTTTGTAGGTTAAAAGAGTAATAAAAATGCATGGATGTTTGTAGAGTGTTAATACCAATTTCAGATGAAGAAAGAACATTTATGTTATGCCAGTGGAAAAAATGAATTAAAGAATATTCCATTAAAATTACTTTTCAGGACAACATGCAATTACTGTATCATGTAACATGATTTTTTTCCCTACAAATTTTATCAGTCAGTTTGGTGCAACATGTTTATATGCCAAAGACAGCAGCTATTTCATACCATCAATTAGCATCCCATCCTCCTTTCTGTCCATCCATGAAAATGGCATGGAAACACAGAACATAAGAGCATGTTTAAAACCCAAGGGCATAGAGTCAAAAGATGTCTAAATGATGTTGCAAATGAGAATTTGTTTACTCAGGAGTTTCACTCATTCCTGTTAAAAACAGAATTCTGTCTTAAGATAATCTCAAAATAAAGATGGAAATCAGCTCAGTATATCCTTTCTGGATTCCCAGTTTTGTAAAAAAGTTTCCAGAGCATTTGCCTACATTAAAACCCCTTTCTAAATTACTAAATTACTGGCATAATTTAAAGGGATTAATGAAATATGATAAACAAAACATACTATAATGCATTGTGAAACATCAAGTTTTAAGTCTTATTTCCCACTTTCCTAACCACATGTGATTTTTTCAGTTATATTTTTCTTATTTTTTTTAGAATTTTTTTAAACTGCTCATTGAAAGATCCATCCATCAGTAGGGAGTAATAGACCCTCTAAATAAAATAATAAAATTGGAGGGCACAGAATGCTGCCAAAGTAAATTTCACTGTATAAATTGAGTGAAAAGATAAAAAGAAATATGGTCTCTACTGTCAGCTATGACAATCATAGAGATTAGGTTATTGCAACAGTAAGAAAAATAAAAAATTCCAATAAAAGCGTTACTTTTATATGCCCATGTACTTAAAAAGAAGAACAGATTGCATTTAGATGGACAATTATCTGAATTACAAACTCATGTTTATGGCCTGTTGTATGTGAACTCAGGACTGAAGCAGAAGGGACATGAAGCATTTTCCCTGCAAGCCCACATAGCCACACAGCACCAAGAAAAGCAAGGCTCCTGCTTGTAGGGATTCTAGGCTCTCTGCTCTGTCTCCCTTTCTATGTCTTTAAATTGTTTTGAGATAGAAATATATGTATAGAGAGATGTAGATATTTTGGTACATATACCATAGAAATATATGATACAATGAAGGGTGGAAGCGATGAAGTTTCTCACCAAGCACAACCCCTTAAACACACAATTTTGGTTTTTTTGAGAAAAAAATTACCTATATCAGTAGCAAACAAATCTACTTGGCACCATATGCAAAGAATGTGGATGGTCCCTAAGGAAAATTTTCTTCAAATTTCTCATCTAGGCTACCTAAATTAGTCATAGTGCTATCACTGGTCATAATCCTGTTATTATGCATTATTATATAAAATATATAATATTTTAAAGTCTATAGGCAAATCAGGTTACAACCTACACAGATGTCTGTGGCAAAAAAAAATCTTTGTATGGAAAACAGAAGCACAATATTTAATAGAATCATAGAATCACAGAACCATCTAGGTTGAAAAAGATTTTTAAGATCACCAAGTCCAATCATCATTGTGGCACCACCGTCATGTTCACATTCACCATTACCAAGTATCATATCCACACTCTTTTTTAAGTGCTTCCAGAGACGGAGACTCCACCACTTCCATGGGCAGTTTCAAAGATTCACAGCCTTTTCTGTGAAAAAAGGTTTCCTAATACCCAATCTATGCCTCCCCTGGTACAACTTATGGCCATTTCTACTCCTGGTACAACTTATGGCCATCAACAACCTGTTGCTGGTTGCCTGGGAGAAGCAGCTCATCCCCACCTGGCTATAGCCTCCTCTCAGGCAGTTGAATAGAGGGATAAGACCCCCTTGAGACTTCTTTTCTCCAGGCTCAACACCCCCAGCTCCCTCAGCTGCTCTTCAAAGGACTTGTGTTCCAGACCCTTCACTCTGCTGCTCCTCTCTGGGCACACTCCAGCACCTCAATATCTGTCTTGTAGTGAAGGGCCCAAAACTGAACTCAGATTTAGGAAAATCTGCATAGCTATCTCAGGTGTTTTATCTTCTTATTGCTATCATTTGGAATATGAGAGGAAGCCTTTCAAAACCGTGTTTGGTGAAAATATCCTATTTTCATTTACAGTTCTTGTGATATCCTTGGAAATAACTTTCTTCATTTGTGGTCTGCTGTTTGCTCTGGTTGTGGAAGAATGGGTTTGGGACTATGCTGTAACAGTTACTATTATTCATATCATCATAACTTCAGTTGGTAAGTAGGTTTACTGCTAAATATTTGCACAGTATCACAAGTTGAAGAAAAAATCCACTATGATTCATCTAATGTATTATTGGACTAATTTAATTTTGCCTGAAAGCTAAATACATATGTATCTCTATTTTCCATCCATTTGACTCATGCCTCTATTTAAATCTTCCCATTTAAACTTAATTCTGGATTTTTTGCAGAACTTTTAACCACAATATTCTTATTTTAAAATCAGAGATTTAGTTCATATTCTAACAATTCGTATCAAACAGATCCAGGCTAGATACAATTTCTGCATCTGGGAGGTGTGTTTTATTCAAAACAAAACATTAATAGTTGTTCATGTCTGGATATTTTAAGAACTACTCATTAAAACTTTAGCTCAAGTTCCAAGTGCAAATGGGGTATTGCTTCAGCAAAGTCAGTGCAAATGTTTTAAGTTAGATCATTTGAACTAAATTTCCATGAGGAAAATGAAGCATTTTACCACTGAAAATCCTTTTCCCCCATGAAACTCTTCCTCTTAAAGTAAAGAAAATGAAAAGAATTAGCTGCTGTAAATGAGACTCATCATCTCTTTTTGCCAGCACCTAGCAATCTCATCTTCTCATGCTGTTTAGCAGAATGCTTCCATGGCTAATTAGGAAATATATTTTAACTCCATCCTTGCCAGACCCTATCTCATATCTATAAAAGAAAATCCTTTTTTTTTTTTTAAGCAATGAAGTTAAAATGTTTATTCTAGAATGCAGAAAAAAGAAAATATTTTTGAAAAATTAGGATGCCCTCCCTACTGTAAAGAGATTCATCTTCCATTTTCCATTGATTTGTCCATTTGTCTATTAGCACTTTATAGAGATGTGAGATTTCCCAGTTCCCTGAAAAATTAAGCGAGAGATCAACAGAGACTTTATCTTAAAAAATTAAGCATAATTTATCATCTACTAAATTTAGTGTTCTGGAATTTAAACTTCTGTTATTCCCCATTAATAATTTTTGTATTTAAATCAAGGAATTTACAAAAACTACCAAAACCCCCCCATTTGTACATAATTTATACAGGGAGTTAGTTTCTGTCATTATATTGGATGATGCATCTTGATGTCCCAACAGCCCCAGATTTACCATTGCTTCTTTCAGACGGCAAACCAAACCTCTGCTGGCTGACCCTGAGCTGTCAGCATATGCAGTGTGTGTCCCAGCCCCCTTTATCACCTCTGTCAGAGTTCTCTGGGGGGAGGCAGTATGGGGCAGGAGAATGGCCCTGCAGTTATCCCACAGTGGGGATGTGGGTCAGCTTGGGTGTGGCCAGGCAGGCACTGGTCAGGACCTAAAGCATTTGTCATTACACTACATGTAAAACATATAATCCATGAAACATTTGATAGCACAGTGCTCTGCTTACTTGTCCCCATTCTGGCTGTTTTAAAATTTACATTTCTACTTTTCTTCTTCTTGCAGTTATGTCTGAATTCCCTCTGATGCTACATTGGTGGCTGGCATTAGGTATAATTCCATTCTTTACAGTTTAAGTTGCTAAAATATATGTAGAAAATTAGTGTTTATAATATGGTTTCTATTAAATATCTGTTGCCTCGCTCTGAGAATTGTCAACATTTAAAGAAAAAGTACAGGCTTTTCATTCATATATCTTTTAATAACACAGGTAAATAATGGTGGAGTAGGATTTTCCTCACCTTAGAAAAATACTCTCTTTTAAGGCCAAAATATGCTCATCTTACACTACTCTTGCAAACAGCAAACATGTGACTTGAAATAAATCATGATTAAGTCCTGACTAATCTCAATTAGTCAGGACTTAATCATGACTTATTTCATCTATAATAAGAAGAAATCTATCTCAATTCAGGTGTCAGAAAGAAAGTTGTCCAGTGTTGTAGCCTTTCTTTATACCCCTTAAAATCAATGGAAAAAAAACAGGTACCTTCAGAGGCAAGTTTTACAAACATTATATACAAGTACTTATGATGAGATGAATTTCAGTCATCACATTTCCTCAAAGTGAATGGCAAAATTACATTTCTGAATGTTTAATTTCCTGTTAAATTGGAAGCGCAGATTTTTACATGAGAAGTAAATTATCTTGAAAAGGAGCAGTTAAGGGAAAAGGACTGGCTTCTGTTTTTCTTTCTTATATTATGGATAACACAGATCAACAGCTGCAATAAATTCCTAAATGATGGGGAGAGATAGATAGATATATTCCCTGTCCTACAACTGTTTTCGCATTAGCAGTTGTGGAGGCTGATATCTTTGTAAGTAGTGAAAGCCTTGGGTAAAATGTTTAAGCAGGAAAGCTGTTTTTTGGTTTTTTTTAATTGAAGAAAAAAGAATTTCAGTTTAAATTTTATCATAAAGTCTGTATTCCACTATAAAAAATAATACAAAACAACCATATCTTTTCTTTCAGGATCTGGAGTAATTTCAATGATCTCTGGAGGACAGATTTTGGCATATTTCTTGTTCAAAGACAACTTCATTTACCCAATTCTAGATGACTTTTGAAAAGGAGTATTAGAACTTGTCTTTATATCTATGTGAATTCTACTGTTTCAATAATCAGTGTAATTCAAATGAACTGAAGTTAGCAACTGTTAAACTGTAAGGTTAACATTTAGCTTGCCTGACCTCTTGTATCTTATTTTTTTGGCAATTTCATCACTTTCATCTTTTGTATGTACATTTTTTATTAATCAACTAATTAGACACACTGTTTCTGTTTTAGAAGCCATAAGGAGGATTAGAGCAACAGTGCAGTATTTCTGCAAAATCCTACAAGCAGAAGGAAAACATTTAGTTGAATGCAATGCTTTCAGGGTGCCTGTTATCTGTTGTATTTCATGAAATGCTGACTCTAATTTAGGCTGCTGTCAGACCACTCACAAGCACTGAAAAACTTTCAAGTCTCCCTATCTGGCATAAATCAGTGTAGGTTTAAAGCAGTCTTTACTGATAAACTCCTGGTAAAGAAGAATCGTTGAACAGCACATATCTCTGCACCTCATTCCCTCTTAAAGCTCTCACTTAGAAGCAACAGGAGGCAGAGGTGTAACCCCTAATGTTGGGTTAACCCTTTTTCTTCCAGGGGTGCTACAAGCAAATGTTTTTTACAAAAGCTTCAGGTTATTTTTTCTTCCACTGATGATTCCTTTATGGTCTGCCTGTGCTGAAAGGAGGAAAGGCAAATGTTACTGACAGACACTTTTCTACATATCCCTCTTTCTTCCCCAGCTACCAGTGGGGGTTTATTGGTAGTGATAATTAAAAACAACAAACAAACCATAGTAGTGGCATCAATTTACTCCTTATGTCTTTAATAATAATAAAGCTGTAACAGAAAAATTGTGAGAAGGCAACTTAGTCTTAAATATGAAATCCAGTGATTGGATTTCAACTGCAGTTTGCTCAGAAGAGGAAGACTAAATTGCTGTTTGCACAGGAGTGCTGAATGTTGCATTTGCCTTAATCTCACTCAACAGATAATGCCTCTGAAGAATCAGTCCCCTGTTGATCTAATCAAACATCTTCAAATTTATTGCAAGTTTTGAAATTTTCAATTAAGTTCCAGTACTGAAAGTACACGTACAGTGAGAAGCACCATTCAGAAGACTCACAAAAAAAGGAGTTTCTCATGAATGATAGATATGTAAGTCATTTTAGAGACAAAACAAATATGTAAATCCATAGCACTGAACAGATGTAGACTTTAGAAGTATTTCAGCATAATATGCTGCATACTGAAGTCAGAAGGGATAATTCTGGAGAGTCCATAAACTGACCTGCAAATCTTCAGAAATATGACTGTGCAGGTAACAGATACTATAGTTTGGAAAATATTTGGACACTTCTTCCAGGTTAGTTTCACTTCAGAACTATACAAATGGATGGGAAGGGAATAAGGTCTACCATAAATTTGTGCCCATGTTCTCTTCACATAGTTTGTGTGTGTAGGTAGTGTGCCATGTGGCAGAACATGAGTGGATTAGATATAAAGTTAATCCAGGGGTGGAACATGTTTCTGTTTTTAACCTGACAGGATTTTCTTCTATGTGTCAGCCCAGCTTTTAGTAGCTCTGCTGCCCAGTTTCAACATTTTTAACTTTTATTTTCTATTTAAAATTTTAAATCACCAGCAAGAAATACTTTAAGACTAATATTAAGAGTGCTATAGTCACAGTATTTCTTCAAAGTACATACAACTAGGCCAGTGATAGAAAATCAGTCACAGCAAGAGCTCTGTCCAGGATTAAAAGCATTAGCCCAGCTACTAAAGGCTGATTAGGTTTTTGCATTACTTTCAGATATGGAATTGTGAGGCAATTGGAACATTATTTATTTCATCTTTTCTATCACTTCTATGTTGTGTCCAACGATAAATATTACACCTAATGTTAAAGTGTAGGCAAATTTCATATTATGCAAATGAATGTTAACATATGAGCTCCACGAGCTGTATCTGTGTGCCCATTACCTGGTTAGAAGCCTTCAGATATAGTATCTAATAATACTGTGTGAATCCTAACTGAGGTACCAAAATAGTACTTTTGAATATGACAAACCTGGCTGTTTCTGGAACAAAAATAAAGTCCCACTTGAGCAATTTGCATGTGACTTCTTGATTATGGTCAAGACAGTCAAGGTGGTAAAGAAGAGCTGCTGGAAGAGACAAAGGAAAATGTCTATGCTTCCCAGCAGACCTGCTGAGGACAGCAAGAAAAGAGAGCTGCAGAAAGAAAACAGAGAAAACAACAGGGACATGTGTTTGGAAAAAAGGCACATGAAAACAAGAAACGAGAAGACAGAAACAGACAAGATCAGTGAAACAAGAAAAAAATCTGCAGACTGAGCTTTTAGCACTGGAGCCTCATGACATGAAACTCGTACGCCATTTACAAGCAGCAATCTGTTTCTCTGTGATGTACACATGATTCTAGAGCAGGTGGTCTCCACA